ATACATTTGCGTTGATGGCGGCCGTGCGCCACATGACGACATGAATGAACGCAACTGGGAATTGGCACAGATGAATTTGCTGCAATTTAATCATGATTCCTCAGGTTTTAATCGTTTGTCCTGTTTTGGGGAATTCCTGCAGTCTTTAACTCTGGCGGATCCAATTTCGGAGCTATGATAACATGTTAATAATATATACAGTATATGTTCTTAAACTATACAATGTGCTTTTGGCGCTGCTAAAAGAAAAATCGGCGTACGCATGCGCTCAAGCCAAATTCACTGATAACTCATGAAGCAGGCTGCCCGTTATAGCACGTATGTTGTCTGAATGCACCCCTGTATTAAAATTCCCAGATACCAGTGCTAAATGCCCATGCTTCAAAATTCTTTTAAAAATGCTCAGAACTCTCACATTTAAGCTGCACAGAAAAATGATGATCAACATGTCATCTTTCATTTTCTTTTCATTTTTTGGTGGGTTGACCATTGACTTTTCGAGAATTTCTCATCCAAAGAAGACGACCCCTATTTTTCCCAAAGCGGAGAAGTAGCCATCTTGAGAAAACGATCCCTCCACGACATGACAGAATAGCGCCACTTTTGAGCTAAACTGCATCATAAATGCTCAGAATTGGAAGCCCCAAGTCCAGGTCAGAGGTTCATTGCCATATCTCTTCAATTCCCCAATTTTATGGCTCTCAGAACTCTCTAAAATGACATCACTCACAAATATGGCAACTTGCAGCATAAACACCCCAAAAAGGGCAATAAAATGCCCTTAAAAATGGTAAAATGAAAATTGAAAATAAGGTTAAAAATTAATGGGACACAAAGGTGAATTTACAAGGACTGCATTAAACAATACATTGTCATGGCCTTTAATATTAGCGAAGATACTTCGTTTACGCTCCGGTGTCGGAAGAGGAGATAATGTCCCCGTGTTAAATCAAGTCTACCAATTGCGGCATAGGGTTGGGAGTACAACCGAGTACAGCTAGTAAAAGTCAGTGTAGTATGACATTTTTAACTATGAAATACGGACTCAATGGTTGCACTGCGCATGCCTCAATGAAGAATTCCAGATAATAGGACAGTGGCAGGTCACGTGTGAGGGTTAGTATCCATATAAGGTAAAAGAGAGCAGATTTCAAATGAGTTCAAATTTCATATGACACCGGTTCACATCAGGAAGTTATTTTTGTGCTGCGACTTCTCTAAGTTGAACACATCGCAATCTGCACGGCAAATTTCGTCTCCAATGGTTCGTGAAGACAATGTCGCTTGGCATTCCTTGAACGGCGGTGCGCACGTCTTTTTTTCGGGTTGGATGGAGTTACACGATGTTGAAGAAGACCACGCGCGGTCGATCAATGTAGACTTTTGCTTTTTCAACCGTCAGAACCTCCCCCGTCAAAACCTTCGCTTAGGTTCGCTTAGATAGCCAGCAGTTTTACAGAGGAAGTTCCATACAGTACTTTGTACCACCATAAAGGTTATCTAACATCTTGACATTTTCAGAAAGGGGTCGAGGAGAATGTACTCGAAGATGTAGGAAACGTCTTCGCGGTCGCAGCAAACGATTCTTGATGGAATGTCAGTCCCTTCTTGGCACCTTGTGTCACCGAAGAACGGGGATACATGAGTCCTCTCTTCGGGTCGGATGGGGTTACAAAGCGATGTCAGCCTTCAAGATGACCGCGGTCCATTGTATACCTTTGCTCTTTTCCCAACCAGAAACTTGTAAGATAACTCGCTCAGATGGCCAGAAAAGGCTCCTCCATGGTATTTAACACCAGACTAAAGGTTAATTCAGTATCTACCATCTTGACTTTCCATTAAGGAGGTACTCGAAGATGAGGATGTCTTCGTGATGGAAGTAACAAGCAGTCATAGATGATTACAGCCCATTATTGGAATCTTGTGTCACCGTTGAAGCACCCGACAAATTGTCCTTTGGTACCTCTGCGCGAGCCATATTTGTTGAAGACCTAGAAATGAGGCCCGAATTTTGGCCAAGCTGACCAAATCACGATTTCTATACTGCCAATCTCCCACCACCTGGTAGAAAGTTGTGTTGCCTCTGCACTTCTGAGTTCTAGAACAATACTACCACTTTGTGGGGTGTAGAGATTGGAGATGCTTGTGGCTGACGACTTTAGTAGTAAGCTCTGCTTTTGTTGGGCTTAATTTCTGCAGACTTTTCTTTCAAAAAAATCAAGCGAGGGGCCTCTATCACAAAATGCTGGAAGGAGATTCCATTAAGTGCCGTAGTTCTCATCTTGGTACGGAGAATTTACGACAGTCCTTGTTTGCGGATTCACGTAGAAAATGAAATTTGATGCCAAAGTCGCTCTATTTTGCAATGTAGTGGAGGCATGACTTGTTTTCAAAATGACGATTGGCTTCAAGACTACTTATAATTTTATGGGGTACAAGTCAAGCTGTCACTGATGTATTTAATGTCTCATGCTCAAAGTAACGATTTGAGGAGTTGTATATTTGAGGTGGCTTTATATCTATCATTATTCTTCGCGGGAACTTATTTACTGGTCAGCAGCCATTCTGTTGTTTGTTTATGAGTTTGGCGAAAGGGGGAGGGGTGTTGGTTGGGGATGTCAAGAAATTGGCGCCTGGTTGTTAATCATTGACCTTCAGGAAAAGGTAGAGTGGATTGACCGTAATTAGCCTGCGGAGCCTCGAGGACACTTGAGAGAGACTTCTTACCGTACTGCCCTTCGGCTACCACTCGATCACTAATGTCCATGTCCTGTACAGATAATACACAATGATAAAAAACGGTATGATGGGCCTTATTCACGGATCGGCCATGTTGAATTGAAAGTGCGGTAAAATCTTAATTTTTGGAACACGCGGAGAGAAATGAAAGCAAAGTAATTCCAGTCTGCTTAAAATTTGTAAACATTCCCTAATGTTTTAAGCCAGATTTAAAAAAAAAAATTAAGTAAAATAAGGCTGCATAAATAGTCTGGCGCCATCCCATTCAACAGTTAACAATTTATGATATACATTCAGGGAACACGACAAAAAATGGCTACCTTGTGAATAAGGTCCATAGATCAAGCCGTGATCAGAGGGAAGGTATGTTAAAAAGTCCAGTGGGTCCTTCGAATTGCGGAAGTGCATGTGCACTGTGAACGGAGTTCTTATCGGTGAGATATCTTCTTTGGTTAACAACCTGCAAAGATGACAGTGCCTGGAGCTGTGTCCTTCGGCAAGACACTTTTCAAAGTATCCTTCGGCAAGACACTTTTCAACTTCCTTTGAACCACGAGTACAGTGTTCTTGTAAGGGGCTGGTGTGTTACAACTAATAATGTAGTAACCAACGGAAAGTCAGTGTTGTAGTACTCGTACACGTTACTCGTATACTCGAGTACTTTTTTGAGTACTCGTATTTGTACTCGTACTCGTATGTCAAAGTACTCGTATTTAAATTGACGGTACTCGTACTCGTACTCGGGCAGCAAAGTACTCGTACTCGACATGTCGAAATTGTACTCGATCATCAAAGTACTCATACTCTAATTGCAGTACTCGCAGGGAAATGGTATAGCTTGACTTACCACGGCCTTATTTTATCGTTACTTTCAGTTTGAAATGGTTGGACACACGACCTTTTAACAAAATGTATATACACACAGATCCGAAAATTAAATTATTTTGATGATCATGCATCTAGCTCCTACCCTATACAGTTATCGCTGCACCCCCCCCCCCCCCGACCGAGAATAATGGATCTGTGGCTGTGAATTCGATGGCAGATTGCAAGTCATCCAAAATATTTACACGGCGACTCCTATGAACTTCGAAAAATTGATCTGTTTAAGTTGCTTACATTACAGGGCAATGTACCGGATCCATCTTTATCGAGCGGGCAACCAGCACCCACAAAGCCTCGTAAAGTGCAGGAGAGCGTCGAGTAGCGTTGCAGTTTCACCGCTAATTCGGCCGGGTGAACGCCGTAATTAGACACCGAGCCTCTCCACTTTGGACCGTGATTTGATGGAGCTTGACGGTGGAGCACGGACGGTAGCAATCTATCGTGCCTTGCTGGCCTGCACAACATGACATGGGCAAATACCTGGTCCTATCCTACACGGCCAGGAACCGGGTTATCCAAACACACATATTTCCCGTTAAAACCTCGACTAAAGGAGCAACAGGAAATGTGGAAGTCACGATTTACCATTGGGAATCTATAGGCCGGGTTTGGCTTTAGGAAAACACTGATTTCAAGGAATTTTCCGATAATCTTGTATATTTTTTTCTACAAATCTAACTATAGCTTTCTGTATTGTACCTGATCTTCGAAGTAAACACCTTTTTACATTTTGGAAGGCCCAAAAGTCGAAGTTGTCATTCTCACCATTGCAGGTGCATTCTAACGCGGCCCTTCCACCGTTATTCTCTGTGCACTTGGCGACAAAGGGGAGACGATTTGCTTTCGTAATATTTGCCTTGGTACAATAGTATAGCTTCCCGAGGACATAACGGGGAAGTTGATCGACCAAGGAATCTCTCGCGACCCCGGTCAGAATGATCCTTATATTCTTCTTAATTCCTTAGGTCGCCTCTCGGTCTGGTGATGTTTGCAAACTGTTTGCCAATCGCAGCTGTTTCCGTACTCGCATCATTTCCGTTGGTTCAATTACGGATCCATTAAGCACCGCCCACTGCGCAATTGGACAACACGTGCGCCTCTTCAATGCCACAATGCATGTTCCAGCCGCGCGCCTCATACGCGCGCGTGCGTGCACGCATGTCGGACTTTTATGCAAGGCTGTGATTGGTTAAAATGTCACAGGGTGGAGCTTAATGGATCGGTCAATTTGAGACGCGCGTGCATTTTGGCAACCTGATTGGTTGAAGGAGAGCGCCCACGCGCGACATGCTTGCCAGCGTACAATGTGGTTTTTTTTTTGCGGTTGCCGCCGGCCGGATAGATTTCGGAGGACGGGGAATCACGAAGCCTGTACGTGGTTGTGAACATCTTCATCAATTTATGAATCTTCAACTCAAACAATGTGGCCCCGGTCCCGTAAATGGTAGGTAGGTCGATTCTTGTCCCCTAGGCACACTTTCAAGGTTTTGTGGCATGTACAAGCTTATAAGCTTTTTTGCCAAGCCGGCAAATTTAATAGGGACGGGGATAGGTCACCAATTTGTCAGACCTTGACATGCAAAAAGCCGTGGATAGGTAAAGGGAGTAGGCCTACATCATTTAAGAATTTTACAATGCTAGCTGTACACTTAAATGATTTCAATGAAAAGAAAGTGCCCTTAAAGTTACACACAGATCACACACATAATTGCTTCAAAACAAGATTAATTAAGCAGGTTCTATATATGAATAAAATTTGATGCTCTTTCTTTGCACTTGAAGTATGAAGAACTTGCAGTTCCTTGCTCCATGGAGGAAGGAACACATGCAGTTACCAAGACAACTTGACTTAAAAAATCAAACAGCATTCGTTTTCCATTAGCTGGTCTCTGGAGGAACAAATCATGCCTCTATAGCCGTCGAGTTGTCTCCTGACCAAACCCCTAGTGGTGATGGCATAACAAGCAATTTACTATTTACATGTGTGTATAAATGTCAGGAACACAATCCAAAAATCGAATTAAGGTGGGGGGAACTGCATTTGCATGTTTTGTCCTGTCCTTCAGATAACTATGATTCAGAGTAATTCAAATTTATTAATTTCTGGAAGAAAGAAAACATTGCAAACCTTTTCAGAAATTTGGAGGTATATTTTTGAATTGCAGAACCTGTTGACATCTTCTTTTCCGTCCACATCTGTTGTGACTGACATTTCAAGACATTTTTGTTCATTGTTTTTTGGCATCTTGGTTTAGATTGGAAATTACTGACGAAAATTTAAATGTGATAAACATAATTCAGATTTTGCTAACATGATAGAGAGAAACGAGTTGCACCATATATATGTGCTGATGTACATATCCAAGGTAAAAACGTGCCACTGGTAGTACCGTAGTCAATGTAGTTCAATTCACATTTTACTTTTATTTTTTTTTTAAATGAAACTGTCAAGAAGAGTAATATCGCAACAAAGAAGATTTTACTGCAGTGGATCCCCATGTACAACCATCTGCAAGCTCTGGTAAGTAGTTTCACATATAATGCCATAAATCAATGCTTAAACATATTTCCAGCCATACTCCAATTAAAGAGCTTGTCTGTACTGATTACTGGTATAATATGTTAAAATTGTGCTTGGAATACAGACGTGCTGTTTTTATAAAATTTGTTGACTTTTTTTTAATTTAAAAGAAAAGTTAACTTTTTCTTGGGGGGGGAACAGAAATCATTAGAATAATCAGCTCTTGGAAGGAAATTTTAAAGAGTCAGAATTCTGATTAAATTCAGAAAAGTTTTATCTCTGAAAATGAACCCATTGTTCCTAATTTAGATCATCAGGGACAAATTTCCTGAGCATTCAAAGCAGAAAATATCAATAACCAGTCACAAGATATATCTCGTTACTGAAGCTCATAACCTGTGAAAAACAGGAACAAATGTCATGCTATTTTTTTTAACGGACAAAAACGTTCATTTGCCCATAAGGGCCCCTCTCAATTCATTTCGGGGTCAATTTCCAGACAGGTTCCAGAGGTATCGTATCTGGTATAAGTTGCAGGACTCTGAACAACTTCCCGCACTCTCCCCACAATGGAGTTATCAGTATTGGAGAGTCAAGCAGTTGCCAATAAAATGTCCCCGGAACATGTCTGGGACAAATGCAGAGCTTCTTCCAGACAAAGGGAATGACATTACCTGCAACTTGTCCGGAACTCGTCCAGATATAAATTGAGACCGGCCCTTAGCAAATATTTTCATGCTTAACAAAAATGCAATGCTTGTCTGCTCCCTGAAATTGACCCTTGCGCTTCTTAATAATAAGGGAATAAATGTGTGATTGAGAGGTCTAAAACACTCTGTTTAAGACCGGTTGGAGTCTGGATGCTGATAATTTTGGCTCGGGTATTTATCAGCATCCAGACTCCAACCGGTCTTAAACAGAGTGTTTAATACCTCCCAATCACATACCTATTCCCATTCATCGGACCATTTGGTCAAAAAAAAAATCAAAACTTTTCGGTCCACAGGAGTAAAAAAAAGTCAAAAATTATATATTTCTAACAATTTCATTAAAAAAAAAACACCCCTCTAGCTATACAATGGTAAGGCCCTCTGACAATCTCAACTCCCTGGTGAGTATAGAGCTCGATGCTGCCATTTCGGCGCAAAGCAGCTTTTATCAATCACATGACCATCTCTGCCTTCACATCTACCCAATTTACTCCTGGGTGGGGAGAAGCAATGAGTGACAAAGTGCCTTGCCCAAGGGCATACATCACAACTCCAGTCTAGACTCGAACCCACAACCTTTAAAATTACATATGAGTTCAAAGCTCTAGACCACAAGGCCATTGCACTCCACTTGTCATGCAATGAATTGTTATAATTTAAATAAATTTGTTTTATATTACAATAACTTACACTTGAAATCGAATCACTTTGTCACTACTTTGGCCAATCAGTGCGTAGATTCAGCACAAGTTCGGCAGCTTTGGGGGAGAGTCGGTAAACCCCGACGTCTCTGAGTGCGGCGTCAGGGGACGGGTCCTTGGTGTTATGGTCTATCGTCTGCTTAGCGTGGAGCGTCTGGTACAGGAGATCCCGCAACAAGATGGCTGAGCCGGGCTTCAGGGTGAGAAGAATGCAAGACTCCTTGAGTCTGAGGGGAAAAGAAAGAGCAAAGTAAAGTAAAGTAAGTAAGTAAAGTCTGTCAAGAGCCAATACAGCCTTGACTCGTTTGAGGTTTTAGGGTCATTGTGTTTAAATGGTGATATTCTTTGAACGGATCAAGCAATTTCAGTACTTTTCTTCATTTACAAGTAGCTTATGAAATTGGCTTTCCAGTCATTATTATTTTTGAGCTAGACATTTTTTTAAATATGAAATATGATTTTTGGGGTTTGGATTCCGCTTTTTATGACTCATTCAATATAATACAACACTTCATTGAGCCAATACCTCTTTCAAGCACGAGAATTTTCAGTTTGATCATCCCAGGGGACTAACCACATTAAAATAGAAAAACTGTTAATACCACCCGAAAAGCAAAGCTGTTCCGCGATCCTGGGTAAATCCTTTCAGAGATTGTGGAAAAATGTCACATGGATTAGGCAGGAATGATCCCAAGAGCTTTGAAAGCTTTTGCTTCGGGCTGGTTTCCAGTCAACAAACGTGAAAGGTCAGAGTAAAAAATACTGGTAAACCATTGCCCTTAGCATGTTTTGAACCACTGCTCTAAGCATGTTTTCAGTTTGGTGGGAAATGACATTTACTATTTTGGAAGCGGGAATGATAAAAAGCTTCAACACTCAAAAAGGGTAACCCGGGTCAACCTCAAAAAGCAAACCAAAATTCTAAGGGGAGGGTTGTTAAAATTGGAGCTATTGGCACACTGCAGATTTCTGATCATTGTTTTAATTATTGAGTATTTTACTGTGTACCATTTCTCACCCAAACCAAAGTTCCAGTTGCAGGTTTGTCTCAATACATTACAGACATGTTTTGCATGCTTTTCCACTCACTAATTGCCACCCACAATAGAAAAACGCTGCAGGTTTTATATAACAATAGTCCCTGGCTTTTCATTACTTTACAGACAACGGCACACGGCCCAGGTCACACCCCCTAAAAAAAACCGAGGTCGTGGCATATAAAGCGCATGCGCAGGGCCGCCATTTTGGCAAGGAACCATAAAGGTTGCAGACCAGTAAATAAACTGCCATAGACCCCAATGATAAATGCCCCCACTTCAAAACTTCAGGAAAAATACAACTCTCCAAGGTATTCGAGACACACATCAAATTAAAGCTAATTTCATCATCTTTCATTTTCTTTTCAATTTTCGGGGGGGTTAACTGATGACTTTAAGGAGAAATTTTCATCCAAAGATGATCACCCCTTAAAATGGTTCTGAAGCCCATCACCATTTTGAAAACCGATGCCTACACTCCATTGCAAAATAGAGCGCTTTAAGGGCTCCAATGTCATCCAAATTGAATGGAACTACAGGCTCACAGTCCTATGCACGGCTTCCACTCATATTTTTTACAAACCCTCAAGTTCATGGCCCACAATATGCTCAAATAACGAAGAATTTGAGGGCATGCAAATCATGATTTGGCCGGCGTAGGCGATTTTGGACCGATTTACTGACCTGCAACCCTAGGGCTCAAAAGATCACGCTGACATCCAGAAACTGCCTGAAGCCATGACCAAAAATAAAGGACTTTAAAATACTTCAAATCCAAACAAATATACGCTCCACATCTTGACATTTGTGATGACAGATAGAACACGGTTCCGTATACCGGTAAAAAATATACAGTATTACATGTAGGACCAGGAGATGTTAAGATTACTTTAAGCCATGTGCAGATAATGCTGACCCAGATATCGTAATCATTACTTGCACTCTACCGAGGTTTTAAAGGGTTAAGAATGAGATTTTAAAGCCTGGATCTAGACAGCCAGCGAGCCCATTACCTCTATGAAACTTCTGGCCAATGCCAGCTTAAGGCCTGGACTTGCAGTAGATAGAGCTCCGTGTATGGGATCAACAGTTGTAATTGGATTGAGTGCAGAAAGACACAGAAAAAAGTAACCCCTGATCAGCGATCACTGATGAGAACAACTTGCAGTGCTCAAGCTGGCTTTGCATCTGAGTGGTTACGGTCTTTACGAATTCTATCAAGATGTAGTTGAGATGTATTAGAGCGACCGTTTTACAAGGCCCACTGGTCACTACTGACTGGATAGCACATTGATACCACAGGCTGAAGTCCCTATAGGGTATCGTCTTGACAGGCCTCCAATGTACTACAGGGTGAGTCAAAATGGCAGAACCCCAACCCCAAAAAATATATTTCATATTAAAAAAAACCATGTAGCACCAAACATAATAATGACTGGAAAGCAAATTTCATAAGCTACTTTTAGATAAAAAATTACTGAAATTGCTCAATCTGTTCAAAGAATATCACCATTTAAAAACAATGACCTTTAAAACTGTCTCGTCTGGAAAAAAAATGTATTGTTTGTTTTGACTGTTTGGAACAACAAAGACAATGACACAGAATACTTGTTTCAAAAACTGTCACCAACTGTAGTACACAATATCTTTATTAACAACCCCGGTCAGGCAAACAATATGATTTATAAAATCCACCTTTTTTTTTTTAAAGACAAGCCTTCAAAGGACTTCCTTGAATATTTCTAACGTTTAAACTGAGATTTTATTGCTGGTGATGATTGAAGACCATTGCGACGACGATTCTTAAAATCGCAATTTTTTGGGGGGGGGGGGGGGGGACGAGACAGGTTTTAGGGTCATTGTGTTTAAATGGTGATATATTTTGAACAGATTGACCAATTTCTGTCATTTTTTGATCTAAAAGTAGCTTATGAAATTGGCTTTCCAGTCATTATTATGTTCTGTGTTCCACTTTTGTTGACTCACCCTGTAAGACAAATACGCGTGCAAATCGCATCAAATAAACTCCCGCTGCAGAGTATGCACGAAATGTATGGAGTCAAAGCTATAGAGGGCCTACATGTATAAATTGATTGCGCACATGTCTCCTTTTGGCTGATATGGAGAGCTAAAGCTTGTCAGAACAAAAAAAAACATGAAAAGTAAGATTCACAAGCAACTACAGTATGAATGCATTAGTTGCAACACCCGAACCTTAAAAAAAGGAACTTACAAGTATTTTTTGAGGGAAATTAGTAAAGATTGATTCAACTATTATATCTCCAGTCCGCTGGGAAACGCAACATTCAATATTTGTTCAGGTTGGGTATGAAAGTGTCTGTACGTGTCTCGGCATGCATTTCATAAGGTTAGTGCCTTCCAAACGCTGCGCCATGAATATTGCAAGAACAGCAAATCTATTCAATGTCGGTTCTGTAAATTGTTGAAATCCATCATTTCCAGTTGATCATCTGTGTCTGTGCACATGCACGTCACTTGTACAAATTACAGGTATGTATTTTTGTAGTAGCTGGCAAATGAAAGAAGCCGTCCTTGCTCATAATTAACAAGATTTGTCATGTGTTAAAAAACTCTCCATCTCACGTGTGGGTTGATTTGATTATCTCCCAATGCCATTTCGTGTTTTTATACGTATTCTCGAGAGAACATATGTTGTTTTACAGTTCGTAAGCATATCCCTGACGAAATTGTCCGGCTTGTATTGGTACGGTGTGTGACTTGATAGCATTTGCGGCATTTATTGAGCAGTTGCAGGCTGCAGTTAATTTGCAGCTTGCAATCTTGTGAGTGTGTTAACATGTACGCATGATTTCGTGGACGCCGCAACAGAGTAATTAGTCTGATCCATGGTTACTGGACCGTGGCATCAGCATTAAAGAGTGAGAAGTCACAGAACCAAACTTACACGCCGAGAAGTTTGGGTACCGTCACAAAAAGTGGAGTTGATACGGTACATGCCAAGAAGAGGAGTTGGTACAGTACATACCAAGTTTCATTAATTTAACCCTAACCTTCCCAAATCCTCCAAAAACCTCTTTGCAAAATGGAGAATTTTGCAGGATTGAGGCCATATGGCAAAAGTGTGTTGCTGATTTTGTAGGATGCACTGTGTCAAGGTCTTGGGCCGGACCTTGTGTTGTTTGTGCTCAGCCGTGCATAAATTTAGGCCTATATTGTACTTGAAATCCTCCACACTGCTCCAGGATGTCACTGGCTCTGTCTCAACATATTGGCAGTGATTGCCGGAGGATTTTGCAGGATTGAGGCAGTGGTCACCCCTCCAAGGACCACATTCAAGAAATAATGGAGGATTTTGCAGGATTGAGGCTGTATGCTATTTTTACATGGATGGGGTTGGAGGATTTTGCTGGATTGAGGTTACATCCTAGCAAAAATGCCTGGGGAGTTATAGGGTTTTAATGCTGATACTACTGGACTGCAGTATCAGCATATAGGAGTAAAAGTCAGGCAACCAGACTAGCTAAGAAGTTTGTGTACTATCAAAAAGTGGAGTTGCCATGAGGACTGCACAATATTAACTAATGAAAGAGGTGAATTTGCTCATCAAAAACTAAACAATGAAGATCTTAGAACAGAAGGTCAGAAATTTCAAAGGACTTTTCAAAATAACACAAATCTGTGACACTGATTTTAAATAACCACGACAGTACAATATGACTATGATACTAAATGTTTGTGAAACAAATTATCCAAAGAGTTTAACTGAAATGCAGGTAACTACACACCGATTCCGAGCTGGTGTTTAAGATCAAAGTTGTACTATCGTTGGCCAAGGCGGAAGGTACATGTACGTCATGGATGCGAGGCTGAATGTTTGCCGGCGACTTTAATCACGTCGTTACTGCCAAGTATAGCTCCATTACTGTGATGAGTTGGATTAATTGCAGGCAAAACACACAGGCTGGATATTGCTTCGCTCATATTAGCCTCGGGAGTCAGGAACATGAAAAGAAGCAGTCTTTTCAGACGGTACAGGAATAGCACAGCTCAACGGCATTTGCTGGGCTTGATTTGACATTTTCTAAGATAAGGGAGATTAATTACAGTTCTGAATTGTGTTTCATGTGTTTGGTTTGAGAAAGGGGGGGGGGGTCGTTGATTGGAACAAGTGCGAGTGCATGATAAGCTCTGGCCATGTTGCATGAAAG